TATAATGACTTTTGCTAAAATTTCAAAATCAAAAGTTATCAAAACAAGTTCTATGGGACTGAGAAATATTATTTTCTACTTTTTAGTCCATGTGCTGTGACTTTATTCCATTTACTTCTAAGCAGCATGATAAAAAATACAATTGCAAGGCCTCCCACTGCTCGATAATCCGCGATATTACTGCCTCCAAAGCAAGCCATCTGGTAAGCGATATTCCTAGAATTTTGTGGGGCTTTACCTCACAAAAGTCTTGAAACTCCTTGAAGTCTTTTATACGCTTGGGGCTATATGCAAAAAATTTGTAAACGTTGCGACATAGCTCCTCAATTTGATGCGGAAGTTTTTTACACGCGTAACTGGAGCAAAGGTGCAGGAAGTGGCACGTACATTTAATATAAAATAAGTTAACGTCCGCTTTTAACTTTGTTTTCAATCCGTTTAAACAACCCGCCATAGTGCTGGCACCATCCGTAGCAAGACCCATTAAATTTGACAGAGGAATATTGTGAGATTCAAAAAACAATTTAATCGCTCGATAAATAGATTCGGAGTCGGATTGATCTAACTCAATCAATTGCAAAAAATGATCTTTTACTTTACGCGATAGTTGGTCGAAATATCTTACAACCAGTACTAAGGCTTTTCGGCAAGACAAGTCTGTGGTTTCGTCGACAATTAACGAGAATTTGCTTTTTTGCAGCACATTTACAATTTTATTTTTTGATTTATCGCCTAAAATTTCAGCTAAAGACGTTGCCTTTGTTCTGTGGCATTTTAACGCTTTTGCTATTTGACTATCAGTGCAGCAATCGTATAAAAGACCAGGTAAATAATCGACCAACCGAAAGGGCAAATTGTGCATAATACAGAAAACAACAATTGTAAACTCCGCATTGCGTACCTGTTTAGCTAATGTTGCCCTTTCTTCGTTAACAAATTCATCCAATTTCAATTGGTTTTTCTTCTTTTCAAGGTTGGCGCAATGTGTCTTAATTTTGGCATGCCGCGTTAAATGTGATAAGTTATTAGTTATTCTTTTCTCGCAAGCCACACAAAACGCTTCTCCATCGATTTTCTTAAGCCACGAAAATTGTTGCAGCCATTCCTTCCGGAATTTTCTTCTTAAGTTAGCGCTAAAAAGAAACTTAAAATTGCAGTGCACATATTGCTTTTACTTCAAAAACTCTACCTTGTCTCCGGGGTGCAACTTTCCTCGATTTCACTGGACTCTTCCTCTTCTTCAGCAGGTTTAGCTCTTTTCTCTTTTATTATAAACCTGAAATAGTTTAACATATTGTAAAAATTTTGCAGAAATCGAATTTAAAGTACTTACTTGTCCATGTCTCTATTTTGCGTGCACTCAAATGGCTTTTCTTAAGAAGTGCTACCAACACTACAGCTTGCTTGAATTAAGCAAATAGTCTGTTCCAGTACCTATCAGATTAACAAGATTTAGTCAGAAGCCGTTCCTATTTTTTTCTGAATACACCCTATAAATCTGACGGTTGCTGGAACAGACAAAAGTTATTCATAAGTTGGTAGGATTGTTTCATATCGCAGCTAACAGGGTTGTAGTTCTTTTTTACAAAATTGAAAGCATACTTTTTCGGAAAGTGAATTTTGTGTTAAGAGATTTTCTTGAAGTAATTTTATTTAGATAATGGCCCGTAGTCATAGTCAAAATAAAGTCGACTTTAAAGTTAGTTGCAGCTTTTTGACATAATTTTCAATGGGATATCTGTCAAAAAAGCTGCAACTAACTTTAAAGTCGACTTTATTTTGACTATGACTACGGCCAATGTTATTTACCAGAGGTGTAAAAACGTACCAAATCTTGAAGTAACGTACCATCGTATCAAATCAAAAAAAAAGTACCAAAAATGGTACGTTTCGGCCAAATTGGCAACCGTGGCTGGTATATGGCGCAGAAGCATGGACAATGACAACATCCGATGAGGCGGCTCTTGGGGTGTTTGAGAGAAAGATTTTGCGGAAGATTTACGGTCCTTTACGCGTTGGCGACGGCGAGTACCGCAGACGATGGAACGATGAGCTTTACAACGATATGGACATAGTGCAGCGAATTAAAATACAGCGGCTCCGCTGGCTTGGTCATGTCGTTCGAATGGACACCGACGCTCTAGCTCTGAAAGTATTCAACTCGGAACCCACTGGTGGTAGCAGAGGAAGAGGGAGACCCCCACTGCGATGGAAAGATCAGGTGGAGAAGGACTTGGCTTCACTTGGCGTTTCCAATTGGCGTCAGTTGGCACAGAGGAGAAACGACTGGCATGCTTTGCTGAACTCGGCCAAAATCGCTTAGGCGGTTACAGCGCCAAAAAAGAAGAAGAAGAAGAATAAACAAAGGTTACCAGAAGTTAAAACATTCTTGAATGCTAAAGCGGTTCTAAGTTTTCAAAAAAAAAATAAAAAATTAAAAAAAAATTTAATATTGAAGTCAATTTCATTTTGTAGGTAAGCTGCTCTGACCACATTTCCCGCTTTGCAACCCAAATTTAAATTTCAATATTGAATTTATTCCACCTTGTACTTTTGATCAAAACATTTCATTATCATTGTTTTATTTATTAATTTATCTACTCACAATAAGGTGTAATAATAACTACACAATGCAATATTATTTTTTTCCATTTGCTTTTTACATACATACATAGTTAACATTTTACATATCTACACACATACATTTATTGGCATATTATTCTCGTTTACTTTGTCATATTTAAACTAAGTCACATTTACTTGTAAAAAAATATTGTAAATAAAACAAGTAAGAAAGTCTAAGTTCGGGCGGAGCCGAACATTAAATACCCGGCGCAAGTATTAAATATATGTTTTCCACCTTTCCGAAAGCTACCGCTACATGATAAGCCGGGGTGTATACATTTTAAGTAAATTAGCGTCCCTGAATTTCGAAATATTGCAGTTTCAAGCATATCTGAAATTTACCGTTATATGAAAAGCGGCCTCAATTTTAGTCCGATTTCAACAATTTTCAACGGTTTGCTTTTATGTGGCAAGCACAATAACCATACCGAGCTTGGTACAAATTGCTAGAACGGTTAGCGAGATACATATATGTGATCACAAGTGGGCGGTGCTACACCCATTTTCCAAAATTTTGTCATAAACGTATTTCTTGGTAAAGAATTGTTGCAATCATCAATTTTGAATAAATTAGCTTCAATATTTACTGATTTATCGAAGATTTTGTATTTCTCGAAATTACCGTTATATGGGATGTGGGCGTGGTTATTGTCCGATTTTAGAAATTTTCGGCCAGTTGGTATGCTGTACCAGGTCCAACAACTGTGCCAATTTTGGAAGAAATTGGTGTAGCGGTTACCAAGATATACACATGTAACCATAAGTGGGCGTGGCTACGCCCATTTGCCAAAATTTTGTAATATTCTTATTTTTCGTCTAAAACTTATTGCAAATATCAATTTTGAGTGAATTATCTTCAGTAGTTACTAAAATATCGCAGTTTTCGTTTTTCTGAAAATTACCGTTATATGGGAGGTAGGCGTGGTTATCGTCCGATTTTTAAAATTTTCAGCCATTTAGTAAGCTGTTACCAAGATATACACATGTAACCATAAGTGGGCGTGGCTACGCCCATTTGCCAAAATTTTGTAATATTCTTATTTTTCGTCTAAAACTCATTGCAAATATCAATTTTGAGTGAATTATCTTCAGCAGTTACTAAAATATCGCAGTTTTCGTATTTCTTAAAATTACCGTTATATGGGAGGTAGGCGTGGTTATTATCCGATTTCGCCCATTTTCAATACCATCCGTCCCACGCCCAAAAGAAGTTCAAGTACCAAGTTTCGCTAAGATATCTCAATTTTTACTCGAGTTATCGTGTGCACAGACGGACGGACGGACGGACGGACGGACGGACAGACAGTCACCGCTTAATCGATTTCTCTTTTCATTCTGATCATTTATGTATACATTTGTCTATATCTATCTCGATTCGTTTTGCCTGTTACAAACAACCGTTATGTGAACAAAGTTATAATACCCTTGTGCACAAGTGCGCTCGGGTATAAAAATACGTGAATATACACATACATACAAATATATAACAGTTTACTTACACATATTTACATATAAAAAATGCAAGCGAACGCTAACAGCAGTAGCACCATAACTCAGTAAACGCATATGCATTTAAGACCTCAAATACGAAGTATGTCGGTATGAACGTGAGCATACATATATAAATATATGATCATATTCATAGCAAATGCGGTGGCAGTCGGCGTATGCAACACTGCACGCACTCGTGTTATAAAAACAAATAAATAATATAAAAAAAACTTTTTAATATACAACGCTTTTATAAATGGACTAAAAAGT